ATATATATATATTCACATATTTCATGCTCAAGTGAATGTATAACAGCTGTACTCTTGTTTTAATAAATTTGAATACAGTGGAGGGCCAGTTGGAACTCACCCATGGGCTGGATGTGGCCCGCAGGCCATCAGTTGTCCTTCCCTGATCTATAAATGTAGCTGAGTTATAGCCAAATGTTGTGTTTGCTTAGGCTGATTAGCTGAGATATTTTGCTAACAGACCCTCAAGGTTGACACTAAAAGCCAAAAGGTTTGAGAACCACAACTTTAAAGGCACTCAGTTGAGCTAACATATCCACGCTGGGCTTCTACCACATGTTCTGAAGGTTATTTAAATCCCCCAGATTGAATGTCACAGTGTCAGTGATGCAAAGACCTTTGACCTGAAGGCTGCTGTGATTGGCTGTTTCCAGGTGCAGTGGAGATCCCCTCGTATCTGGTTGGCTGTTATGCTATGGACCGGATTGGGAGGAAGAAGACTTGTGCCCCGGCGCTGCTCCTGGCCGGGGCCTCGTGTATGCTCATCATAGTGGTGCCAGCTGTACGTACGCAGAAACACGTCTCATGTTGCACAATATTTACACACATCCTTCACATGTACTCTGAGCATTGACATGAAACGTGACTGCGGCGGCCATCTTGAATTAAATGAGGAGTCCTACTAGGCTTTTGATATTTTGGTGTTTCAAATGTTTTCTTCACAGTTATTAAAGTTGTCTAAATAAAGTCTATATAAGTTGTGTTCCTCAGAAACAGTAGTAAGAAGTCAGTAGTATACTGTATATAAAGAGTTTCCTGCTCTTGCACAGTCTGCTTTCACCGATTGATGGTGGCCAACACAGTTCACAAGACGAATTCTGGTTTACGGCACTTCCAGCTCCCAGCATGTTGTGATCTGCGCTCTGACCCATGCTCACAACTGAACTATAAYAAATACCCCGTGGTCAGCATTTTAAGTGAATATGACCTTTGAATTCTTGGGCTCTTCTGAAAGCGTGACTAATGTAGGCAAATGTATGAACTATAGGTATTTTTTTCTTTAACGTTTGCTCTTTTTACTTAGCAAGCAACTTGACTTAAATGTAAAAATCCTTCTTCAGATGTTCACATATCAGAATGTATACAGTATGAACAACAAGTCAGTTTAACAAACATCAAACACGCGAGGCAGGAAGTTAAAGCATCATTCATTTTTAAGCAGATCACATTAAAGTGTATCCAAATCTGATTAAGTATGGAAATAAGTCATAGAAACGCCACTGAGAATTGTTCCTCGCTCCTCTTTTGCCTCAGAAAGAAACAACTTATACCCAAAWGATCCCTTGAAACACGTGTCCCTGAMAATCTTTGTTTTTCTGCTTCCTTTAACACYCATTRTCATCCCTGCAGGACAACCAGGCCCTGGTTGTCACTCTCAGCATGATAGGAAAGTTTGCTGTYGCAATCGCCTTTGGCCTCATCTACCTGTACACCTGCGAGCTTTACCCAACCATCATCAGGTAAGAACACKTCCAGATACAGTCAAACATGTGGTCGTAAGCACAGTGGCCAATATACTGAGGGTGGAAGGGCATATATCCAAAAACATTAGGTTCACAACCACTAATCTGCCAAACAGCTATAAAAAAATATGGAAGCTAACTCTTTAAAGGGATCCCTGATTAGTTGTAACATTAGACTTTATTTGATAAACATTTATTTTAACTGTAAAATAA